GGTGTCATCGTGAATTACCATATAGTCATGTAACGCCACATGCGACGTACTTCGATGGGGTTCTTTTTGTGCTTTCTGTCGAATTATTCATACATATTTTTTTCTTTGCGTTCTAACATGACGTGTACCTTTTGCCTCGGAAAATCGTTGAAAAAAAGGAACAAGAAATTTATCATATAAGGAAAAAATCATACATTCATCACCTTCGTACTATTAGGTCTATGTACGGGACAATGAATAGATGATTATTCATAGATTAATGCTGTGTGTGAATCAAATGATAGGTAATTCTTAGTCATAATGAATGTGCTGGGAAATTCCTTGAAGAAAAAGAAAAACAATACGATGAAATTCAACGTGAAAACAAGAGCTAACGAGATGACAAACAGATGCCAATATTTGATAGTAGTAAAATAAAACCGTCAGATGATAACAGATTCTATATTTACTAATGATTACACCATTCTTGATCTTTTACTTTTCTGTTTAAATTAATCGTGTTTCTTTCGAGACTCAGCAACCATATTTGTATTCATTTTGCAGCTTCTGCATCTATATAGATTCTCTAATTTTATAAATTTTTTACTTTAAAAAAAAACAGGCAATTTTAATCAGCGATTAATATTACTTAAGGGTTGATAAGTTTCGCTTAACAGCATCTATATGCTATAGTCTATTAAATCGATATTAAATCAACAGAAAAACATTATGAAACTACCGATACTGTAATAGATATAAATCATGCTTAAATGAATTAGTTTTTATGTCATTTTATGTAATTTTATTCTTTTTGTTTCTTTTTTGCTTCTGCAATAAATCAGCAAATTTGATTATTTATGATTTACTCACCTTCTTATGATAGTTGAAGTACAAAATGGTGACAATGAATCATGATGATCGATTATCTTTTAAAGATAAAGCCTTCGAATGTATTTTATTGATAATTGATTATATTTATTTTTCATTATTTTTTGCAAATAGACACTCAATGTGAAGAACATTTTATTTTTTTTCATTTCTGAATTGTAAAAGCTTGTTAGCTCAGTACCTTTATGACTGAAATGTGAAACTTACATATCTGCTCTAGCTTCATTAAACTAATAAAAAATATGTAAAGTGAAAAATCTCTTGTAGATTATAGTTGTTTTGCAGGCTAATCGAACATCAGAGCAAGAATCTTTCTAATTTCTACATTTCGAACAGAAATTTTTTTGTTTTTTCTACACGCATACCTTTTTTTGCATTTTTGCTGTTCTCTCATAAGTTTTCATTTTTTTAATTTAATCTTATTATTTTAATCATTGAGTTAATTAGCAAATAAGTCAATTTACATATCCATGATATCTATAGCAGATTTTAGGCACTATTATATATATCAATCAAATCACAAACAATTATGTTGATTTTTTTTTAATGATAGCTGCATCAGTTTTGCAGAAAAATACTCTGGCATGTCTGATACCTGCTATTCTCCATGGCTAAATTCTTTAATGCGACAGTGTCCGTAATGGGGGCAGCCGCTGCTATGGTTTGCAATGAAGAGTGAGAGGGAAGACGCAAAATCTCGCTCTTTAAATTGAACTCATCATTTTCTCCGAAAAAATATTTTTAGCTCCACAAAAAAGCAACATTAGCAATGAGAGATTGTTCAAAGTTTTCAGTAATTATTTTACATGTTTGTATCAACAAGTCTTAATTTAGTTAATGGTCTAGATTCTTTCATGCTCTATTAATATATTCACTTTTTAATTGAAAAGTAAAATTAGGTTCAACATGTGATAATGAACTGAAGAAAACCATAAAGGATGATTCGTACATCTAGAGGCGCAACAGAACTAGTTTAATATTCAGACAGACGATAATCCTTAACTGATTATTTTTATATGACTCTTTAGTACTCGTATCAGTCTTTCAAATAGCATATAATTAAATAATATCATCTCATATAATAATAAAACTATAAGCATGAAAACGTGAACATAGATTTTTCGCAATCAATCAAAATCTTTGTTTTTTTTAATTTTTTGATAAAGTACTGAACAATCCTACAGCAAATAAGTTGTACTAGAAATGAATAATTATTTATCTTATTCGTTTCTTTCGTGTTCATCACAATTCAGTAGTTATATGTTCAGTCAAGTTTTGTACTAACTAACATGATTGAAACGAATCATATATATAAAAACGTCGCGTACCGAACGAAAACCGATGAACAAAAATTGAATGTTGCACTATTGATGAGTTTTTTAATAAGCGAGTTTTAGCTTAGGAAGGTGACACAAAATTTACAAACATATGACCTACTGAAAGTCTATGGGGAACATTACACGAACAAGTACGAGGAAAACAAGTTTCAAACTTTATACAACTAAAAACTAGATTAAATAATGAAAGAACCACAAAAGCTTCTAATGATTGATAAAATTTCTAAGAGACTTAACCAGTTAATGTAACCTGTTGAACAACAAATACCTGACATTTAAATAAGATTTTTGGGTAACAAGATGAATATATGCAATTTGTGAAGCACAGTGCTTTTTTATTTGTTTTTAATAGAATATCTCAGTCGATTACACGGGAGTTATCCTTATTCTCTCCTGTATATAATTTTATTATTACAATAAAAGATGTTATTCAATAACATGTAGTTTGAAAGATTGACACAAGTACTCAAGACTCATATAAAAACATTCCTTCCCGAGTTATTCTCTTTCTATATAGATATTAATTTTGTCGGATCTCAAGAATTATGCAACAGCAAGTATACTACAAATGACAACCAATGCTTTGCTCAATACTTAGAAAAGCACGTTTAAGATTCAAAAGATCTATCATACTGACTCGCCATTATTTGCTTTAGTAATAGTCCATCGAGATGATTATAACGAAGTCGATATTCTCTTTAGAAAATACTAATTTAAACATTGTTGACGTTCATTTCAATACGACCAAGGAAAACTTTGCTACTCAAAAGTTTTATTCAGCTAGCTCTTGGGTAGTTTGCGTAGCAGCAGCTAAAGCTGATGATGATAGTGCAATCGATATTGTTACTACTGGTCGCAACAATACACGTCCACTTGTTTTCGGCATTGTTAATGGTATATTTGGGCTGACCGTAGTATTTAACTTTGAGAATTATCGGCACTCGTCAACATTAACCGATATTAAAGAAATATTAAACAAAACATTTTTGTCACCAATTTTTATCAAAAAGAAATCTACATTGTTTTTAATAAAATCATATAACACAACAATAAGCTACGTGAATGTTAATGATTGAATCGATATTTTAGTTATATATCATGATATCAATTATATCGATATTTTTTTTTGTAAAAGTAGGCCAGAGTACATGCATTATTCAGCTGTTGAATATAGAAGTGTTCAATTAAATATCATTATCTGTATCTCATGCTAACGGTGATGCAAAACTTGAATCTAGTGTCACGAACTCAGACTTAAACGAAATTAACATTATGCTTAGTATAAAAAATAAAAGCTGGAGTGTAAAAGACAGCTATAAAATTTATACTACAGCTTTTTCTATGACAACAATTGATGATCATTATGAAGACAAAGCAGACATGAATTGAGCAAAGAGTTTTACAAATTGTATCACTGTTCTTGTCAAATTTGCCAAAAGCAAATTTAAAGTTTAAGAGATATAACATACTGGTACTATACCGTGTTCTATGAAAGCAGCTAATAACAATAGGGAGGATGATGTTGATATTATTCAAACACGCGATTATTTAGATAACATCGAGATTCGATTTTGAATACAGACAATGGCACTTTCACAGTTCAAGTTTATATGGTAAGCCTCACATTATTGTCGTGAGTTACCGATGAAAAAAATCTGCATCCTCCTAAACTCAACGAAAGTTCCATTTCTAACTCAAGCTACCTATCAGCTTGCTTTCGATTCACCACTATGACAGTAATGAATATTGATTATAAAAGGGTCATTGATAGTAGATAGTATAACCAAAAATTTTCATGAAAATCATCTCGTTTTCTACATTGTAGAATCTAGTATGCCTGAAAGTTTATCAATGTATGCTATTGGGTCTGAACATGTTTCTATAATAGTTCCCGATGTCAATAACGGCTTCATATTATTGTTGCAAAGTATAAGAAAAATGAAGTCCCTGTTTTCATTAATAAATGTTTACAATTCTTCTACCATTCGAACACTCTAGGCATTATTGAGTTTTAACCAGTTCTTTTGATATCATCAGACATCAACGAAAAGCTTGCAATTACTATTATTGCTTCATATATCCATTGATAGAATGTTTTCATTTTTATTAATATGAGAAACAATTCGTAGACCATACAGATCTATCCTATTCAAGGTGATAATTCAATTTAGTTAATTAACAACAGCTGAAGACATCAGAAAAAATCCACTTGATATCGCTGTTGAAAGTATGAGACTCAATAATATTATATTTTGCTTTCAGAACTGTAACTTATTTCTAATATTAACTGAAAAATTTTCATGCATAATTCATTTTCATATATATGTTATTCTGTTACTGCTATAAAGTTAAAATCATTCAGGAATTAATATTCTTCAAAGAGTTATTTGTTTTGTTATTTAATATAATATTTTCGATAGATATTACTACATTAAAGAATCAAGATACTTATTAGAGTATTATCATAGACAAACATCTTTTTATTATATAATTAAAATCCATTCAATTAAAATATTTTTTATTCAAAAAGATCGAGACTAAACCATAGATTAATGTTAATATTGATAAAAGTCTTATATGAATATAAATGTCTTTTGTCTTTTATTTTACTCTTCATCGTCTTCGGTTGGTTGTGGTACAAGTTCAAGTGGATGTTCATGTCCTTTCTTTTCACATGCTGAACATAGATCATAATTACCACATGTTAAACAACGATATCTTTGACCAACAAGAGGAGCCATACTACATCCATCACAAGAGACACGGGACCACTCGAACTCTTCTGGCAAAGGAGCAGGTAACTTTTCTCCTCGTGCCCATGTTTTCAATGCTTCGATTCCTTTACTTGAAACATCATCACGACCACGACGAGACAAAACACTTCCATCGGATGACATAATAAACAATGATGGAATACCTTCATAGAAAAGAGCAGTAATTATTGTGTGAAATAGATAAATTAAAGAATTACTCACCAGAATAACGAAAATATTCCTTAAGAAGAGCACCTGAATTTAATGGAACAGCTGGCCAAGGCATTTCTGCACGATAGCTATTAAATGATTCTTCATCTCGATCACATGATACAAAAACAATACGAAAAGCATGAGAAGTTTCTTGTGCTGTTTTGTAAAGTTCTGCCAATTTCGGAGTAAAAGCACGACAAGGTGGACACCAATGAGCAGAAAAGTAAAATCCAACACTTTTAACATCATTTTGCCACATTGTTTTTGTTTCAATTTTTTCTTCATTATTAGGATTAAGTAAATAAGGAACTGATTTAAATAGTGCTTCTAATGAATAAGTTTTTTTAGGCATGAGATATTCAACAAGAGGATGTTCATGCTTATTATTTGGTAGACATGTTTGACATAAATCAATATTACATTCTTTATGTGTGCAACCATG